AATTTCATGTCATTAGCACCTCTAGTAATATATTTACTGAGAAAAATGTTGACATGTTCAATATTATTTTACCCGCTGTATATTTTTTCTCTCATTTTTTCTTTTTATATTTTTCCTTTTACTGTATATAAAATTATTTATTTTGTTTTAATGACATGAATAAAGAATTGAAATTAAAAATAATGTGTTTTCTGTCTCCAGTACTTTTCCAGAACAGACCGGGTCTTAAAACACAGGCGAATGTGTCACGAAAACAGAGAAAGGAAGACGAACAAGACGGCCAGTAAAGTTGGACCTYTACACGAAGCAGATTCTTCAGGGTCTCTGTTTCTTCCCAAAGAGTGTTCTCTACCCAAGAAAAAACGCCAGAAATGTGCAGCAAAAAGTTCAGGAGCCGCTGCTGCCACTCACACAGACAGGCACGTTTTTTCAATAGAAGAAACCGAAGAGAAGGAGGAGCCGAGTCAAGACAAACTTGAAAGTCCGTCACTTTATGCTGTGACCTCAAAGGTAAAACATGAATATGTGATTTCTGGCTACGCTGTGGAACTTCCCGAAGAAACATCCAGCCAACACGAAGARGCAGAACTGACACCAGAAGAAACGACCCCACCTAAAATAGTGTTAAAGAAAGTCCCCAAGAGGAGWCTTAAACAACCCAGTGAGCCAACCCCTCCCTGTTTGCCCGCCTCCCTGTCCTCCTATGAGGACAGCGATAAAGTGGGACAGTACTCTTTTGAAATCGTGGACAAACAAAGCCTTTTAGACGCAGAGGGGAACTCTGAGCTTGAATCYGTGGAAACTCTCCAAGGAGGACCAGCAAAACCAGCAGCCAGCAGCACAAACTACGACGACGCCATGCAGTTTCTCAAGAAGAAGCGTTACCTTCAAGCCGCCATGGCCAACAACGCCCGGGATTACAGCCTGAACACAAGCAGCATCTCCACCCAGCCGTCTGTCACACAAACCATGGTGTCGGCGGTCATCGACGAGACCGTCCCCGTCACCATCCTGGAGCCCCAGCCGATCAACGCCGAGATAAAGACAACTCATGAGAAAAACGTTTTGCCCGATGAGGTTCTTCAAACCTTGTTGGACCACTACTCCAACAAAGGCAACGGCCAGTCAGAGATTTCCTTTAGTGTTGCCGACACAGAGGTGACGTCGAGCATATCCATTAATTCCTCCGAGGTTTCGGACAGCAGCCCCGTGGACAACCTCGGAGCCTCGAGCGCTCCGGCTCAGCCGCCTTCTGAGAAAGTCAGTCTTTTGCAAGAATACTCCAAATTTCTCCAGCAAGCTCTGGAGAGGACCAGTCAGAATGACAGCTACCTGACAAGCCAGAGTCTCAGTTTGGTCTCAGAAAACCCCACGTTGGTCGGACAGCCTCTGTTCTCCACAGAGAAACCGTTTTCCTCCCCCAGCAGGTTCAAATCAGGGATGAGCTCTCCACTGAGATCCACTTTAGAAAAACCTCACTTTGGATTATTGGTGGGAGACTCCCAACACTCGTTTTCCTTTTCGGGCGACGAGACCACCTTGCCCTCTGCCGTGTCCCCCMCTGAGGAGGACTTTTTGGAGGTCTCGCCTCCTAAAAAAACGGACTCCTCACAAGGGATCCTGCAGACTTTCCAGATAAGCTCGTTTGATCAGAACTTCAAATCCCATTTCCAGACATCGAGATCTGCATCGTCCTCGCAGTTTACTGTCACCAACGGACAAGTCAGCGTTCGAGGTCACGGCACAGACTTCTCAGAGTTCCCTTTAGGTCGGGTCACAGAGTCCAGGTCTCAGTTGAACTCCTCCCCTGACGTTTCAGCCGGCGAATCATTCGGCTGAACAAAAAAAATAAACCTTATTTTTGTTGTTGTCGTTAATTTTTACAGCACTTTATCTCGTTTGTCTTGTTTTGCCAAAACAAATCTAACCATAATTGTGATTTTTCTTAAAGCAGTGGGAGAAAAACAGTTGTTTTGTTTTCTAACTGAAATCTCTGACATCATATTTATAACTCAAAGATTATATTACGAAAATATTTTTTTTTCTCTCAAGAAAATGCATTTCTTGTTCTGGAATGTACACTAAAGAGGTTAGGTGACCAAAGTGTAATGCTTCATGAATATTCTCCTTTTGCCACCATAGAGTTTATTTTAAACTTGGGCGTCGCTTTGCCTTGCTCATAAAAAATTAAATAAAAATCAAGTCACTCTTGCTGCTTTATGCAATGTTTGCTATCAGCCATAAAATTATGCCCACCTGCCGTGTAATAAGTACTGCCCTGCCAAATTAGCTTCAACTAGAGACAATATCTACTGCGTCTTTAGTGTCTGATACCAGTGTGTTGACAGTGAACACATCATATTCATTTTTTTAAATATCAAACTTAAGCAGTTTTTCTAAATCCCTTCAAAAATGTCCTGAAGCAGAGCTGCAGGGTTCTCCAGGCAGCAACAAGCTGTGAGGTTATTTCTCCCGTGGTCATAATGTTATGGCTGATTAACGTATGAAAGCTGTGTTTCTGTATGCCTCTTTGCTCTTTCTTTAGCTACCTCCCTTTTTGCAGTTTATCTATTGAAAGAACTTCGTGTGTATTCAATAGAACTCCTCATTGCAGCTCGAATAATTTCTGACTCAACAGCACAATCGTTCTTCACTTTATGTTTAAGTCACTTTATTCTCACCGAAAAGGAACCTTTCCACTGGATGTGTGTGTGTGTGTGTGTTGTGGTACAGGACTGATTGTATGCATCTGGTTCATTTCCTGTTGAAAAACTGAGTCTAATCAGGTTTATGACCAAAAAAAAAAAAAAAAAATCCTTGTTTTACCTTCAATGTTTAAAATAATGTGGGCAGTGGTTTTACAGATGTGCATCTTGCCCCAGGACAGGCCACGTAACAGACTGGTTCACTCTAAAATCTCATTTTGGCCTCAAAACAGCTGCACACATGAAATGGTTGCAGGATAAGTTGCTTTCTTTGAATAGTAAATGTCATTAGTAGTTATTTTACATGAGGATTGTGCTTAACGTATGGACAACTTGCACATTTTTCTCCACAGGGAATATCACATGTACAAGCAACGACGTAACTCTGAGACTTACGTGTTTATTTGATTTGACAAACTCTCTTTGTTTTGGTCACGTTATGTGGATGTTTGTTCTGTAGTTTGTAGTTTTTAGTGATAGTTGTTGGAAGTAGAATCGATTTGGGGGGAAACGGCAACAGGATGCCAACAATCATTATTGTTTCATTAAAACTATAGAATAGAAGACAGCACATAGAGGAATGAAAAGTTGGTTCTCATTGTATTTAATTTAGTTTCTGTGCCTTTTTTTTTCTTACAGCACTTCCTTTTTACTCATTCCTGCAGAAGCTTTCTTGCGCAATAACCACAACCACATAAGCTATATCAACTTATTCACTCTGTAATGAAGTAGGAGCTTTAATTTWGCCTTTTTTTAACAACTAAGATTCTCAAACTTTTGTGTCTGAGAGGAAATMGCATTTCATCACTTCTATAGTGAAGGACCATGGAAACATGCTTCAGATGCTTTTAGTAGAATTCACTATTAACAGTGTCATTCCAGGCTTTGTTAAAACCATGCAGAGCGAGGTACCCTGATGTTTGCCACTTTCAGTTAAAGCTCCTTCTTGTTACAACCCCTCTGACAATCAGGGACAGTRAGCACCTCGTCATTAATCACATCTTTTCCTCTTCATTATGACCCCCGCCCCCCCTCTAGAATGTATAAATATCTTGCTGTAAATACATTGTATACTTTTTTATGTTCTACCAAGTACTGTTTTATCAGTAGGAAGGAAACGTTTTGTGCAAGTGACACTTTTTGTCAGCAGAAAGCTTGTTAGATTTCAAGCATTTCATAGTTTTTAAGCAAAGAAACTTTTATTTTCTGACAGTGTAAGGATTTTTTTTTTTTTTTTTTGAGAATTGCGTCCATCTCACAAAGGAAAACGGACACTTTTCAAAGTTTTATCGCAGGTTTGTTTGAGTAGATGTGAAAATGTGTTGAAAAAGCAGCGGTGGGTGAAAAAACTTAAAGTGCAGCATAATATCATCTGAAAATTTCTTTCAGGGCTAAATGTTTAATTTAAACAAGTTAGATTGGCTGGATTATGCTAAAAAATTAATAATAATTATTATTATTTTTAAAAATTTCTCTGGGTACCCATTTTATTGAAAGCAATCTTCCAAAGCACAAACATTTTTCTAGTGTAATCGTGTCCCATTCCATTATGGAAAAGGGTTATTTTGAGTTACAACATTCATGACCTATGTGGGCAGTTCTCTTACTTTGTACCTTTCAATTAACTATTGTCAGTCTTCTGGCCATAAGTGTCCTTGTATAAGCTGAACAAAAACCTTTGTTTTGTGAAAAAAGATCTGTATTATAAATTTTTTATAAAAATATTTTTGAAACACGTCATATTCTGCACTGATATGTATAGTGAATCAGACTCGATCACTCTTGTTACCCTCATTTATCTCTTTACAAATTGTTTCTGTCAACATCTTTCAACTATAGATGAGAATTTGGCTTTTTTTTGTACTTCGAAATATTTTGTCAACCCTCTGCTTCACCTAAAAAATGTTAATTTGCATGGTCTGAGTCGTCAGGTTGAGTGAACTTGTTTTCTGAATAATGTGCAGCTTTAATTGTAGCTGATTAATCAAGTAACCCCATATGATTAGAGCTTTGCAATATATTATGATTTGTAAGCAATCTGATTGTTTTTGATTGTCGTGTGTCATGTCCTTATGAATAAAGTTATTTACAGAAGCTTGTATTATTGGATGCTGTTCAGGTTTAAATTTAAAAAAATGAAATAAATGTAGTCTTAGTTTGGACATATTTTAAAAAATGCATTTTGTTTAGTAGCTCTATTCAGTGGAGTTTGGTCAAAATGTTTTAAAAAGATTTAAAATAAGCTGAAACTACAGTCAAAACAGAAACTCATTAAGAACTAGACATGGGTTTTTACGATGTAAAAACAAGTGTGCATTGCCTTGCAGCATGGCTTTGCCTGCAGCATTAGACTTGCAGAATGAACTGTGACCAAGTTCAAATGTGTTTTCTATACCAGCTTGTCAAGTCAGCAGGTGTTTGTGATAAGGGTAATTGTGTGACAATATGAAGTTTGTAGAGATTTTCTATTAAAGTTGCTGTGTTTTGAACCCTGATCTCGTACATGAAAGCCCACGGCACCAACCACGAGACCATTGGAGCTGTGGTAAAAAAACGAGGCCAGGGTTTGGTTTGTATGTGTGCAGAAAGTGGCCACATTGCCAATGTAATGGTTGTCACTAATTTGAAAAAAAAAGAATATTACAACAATAAAGCAATATTTGGACAATATTATAGTAAAACATCAAAAATACAATCATATTAGTATTGTAAACACTGAACTATTGAGATTAAATATTAATGGTTCAGTACTGAGTAGAAACAGCAAGGGGCAGCATTGGACCAATACAAGGCTCTATTGACACATTATAAATTATTAAACATTAATATTAAAAAAAAACTATAAGTTGTACAGGCACCAAAAGGCATAGGCATCATTTGGCACAGGAGCTTTACAAATATAAATTACAATGGCAGCTCTAGGACAAAGTATGCAGGAGGAGAAGTGTGCCAAAGTTGAGATGACTTGGATGYGAAACGAATCACAATAGTGTAAAGTGCACTTTTTTTTGTTTTATATTAGTGTTTAATGTGTGCGTAATTTAAAAACAATGTAAAAAGCTGTCAAAGGGTTTGTTTACAGAAACAGCTGAAGTGACTGAAAATAGGTCCACATAAGAGCTGATTGGAATTGAAAAGTCTGACAATATTTACACATTATATTTCTTGTATTATAAAATAGCATTAAAATAAATACCAACGAGTTTCCCCCCCAGCTTTAATCATTTCTCAGTCTCAGCTGCTCTGTTGCCAAAACCAACACAGGATCCTTGAGTAAACGCTGCAGCCGCAGCACACCCTGGAAAGGTAAGCAGACGCACTGCTGACGTTTTCCAAACAACACGTTGTCTTACAGGCAGGATTCATTACCAAGAATAATTAGTCTTTTTTTATTCTAAATTTCTGTAGCGCGGAACGAAATGGGACTGTGAAAGGTAAGATTTTTGGTATTTTGATCATTTGTWTTCCAAAAAAGTTTCCTCTCTACGGTACCGACTTGAGTTAAATTATTTCGCCTTTTTTTTTGTTCGTAATATAAATAAATTGTGGTTTTGACGGTAGCATTGCGTGTCTATTTAAACGATAAGTTATAAAGTTTACCTAAAACTGTGACGCAATCGTGTTTGGTTGTTCGGACACCTGCATCCGGGTGACCTGCTCACCTGTTCTACCTGGAAAGGGCGACGCTTGTAATCAAAGTACAAAATATGTGTTATTTTAAATTAGTTTTTTCACATTCAGTGAGTTTAAACCTTTAGGTGATAATGGAAACGCTGCCAGTTGGTTGGACTGTGCACACCTGGGAGCGGGAGGGCCATCATGGGACAAATCTGCTGAAGAGGGGGTCTGCTGACAGCAAGACCAGCACACATGTCCACGACCTGTTCCATGAAGACGCACAGGTATTTCTATTTTCAGACCATTACTTTTTGATCTTTCACGTCAAAGGTTCAGGTTGCTCAGTCTGTATTTAAATAAATAGGTCTACTCATTGAAATAATGAGTTTTAAAAATCACAAATGTTGGGAAATCCTAATTGATTTTGGTCAAACCTTAATAATGTCTCATGACGTCACTCAGTGTCACACAAACACATGCTGGGAAAGACACTCAGGCTCAGCTATTACCTCTTTAAATGTTACCTTGATATCTGTGATATTAAATGAATTCTTTCTATATTATCTCCAGTACCCAGAGTACCCAAACGTACTTGTACCCAAGTAAAAATCATACTACTTCAACATATTTTTATTCAAGTAAAAGTACAAATTGGCCATCCAAAAATTATTCAAGTAGGAGTACTTCAAAAGTATATTTAAAAAAGGTATGGCTGCATGACCCGGGGCACCTGATCTGTTACGTTTATGTTCTGTCTTCTTGTGAATGGTTGTTCTGAACTGTAAGTTCATTAATTTCAATAAAATCTTATCTTATCTTATCTTATATTATTTTTATAGTATCTTATCTTATTTTATTGTATATTATCTTATTGTATCTTATCCTATCCTATCGTATCTTATCCTATCGTATCTTATCGTATCGTATCTCATCGCATCGCATCGCATCATCTTATCTTATCTTATCTTATCTTATCGTATCGTATTTTATCTTATTTTATCGTATCATATCTTATTTTATTGTATCTTATCTTATCCTATCTTATTGTTTTTTATCTTATCTTATCTTTTATTGTATCATATCTTATCTTATCTTATCTTGTTTTATTTTATTTTATCTTATCTTATCTTTTATT